ACCGTTTCCTTAAGACTCTACTAGACTCGTTCTTGTGTGATGAGACCAACGAACCTAATGCTCTGATACCAAGTTTGTCACGACCCAAAACGAGCCGCGAGTGGCACCCACACTTATCCTACTATGTGAGCGAACCAACCAATCTAAACACCAACATCTCAGTACAATATAAACAGAATATAATGCGGAAGACTTAAACTCTTTAATGAACATCGATTAAATAACTTCTAAAACTCAATACTTATTATTATCCCCAAAATCTGGAAGTCATCACCACAAGAACATCTATCCTCAATTTACTAAAGCTAAGAGTATCTAAGAAACTAAAATAATAACAGCTAGTCTATGCCAGAACTTCAAGGCATCAAGACATGAAGAAGGAGATCCAGTCCAAGCTAGAAGCATTAGCTCACCCTGAAATCTGGTGTGATGAAGACTGGCTAGAGTTGCGGTTGAGTTAAAGATGATGGCACGTTTGCTGCACTCCACAATTAACAAAGAAAAACAATACAAGTAGGGGTCAGTACAAAACACAAGTACTGAGTAGGTATCATCGGCCAACTCAAAATAGAAAACAGTATATATCAGATAATAACATAAAACCTACCAAATACTTAACAGGTGATAGCAACACGCATAAGAATCATTTGCAACAACACCAATCACATCTGTGAGGACTCAAGCCTCCACACCATACTCATTTGGGAATTAGTTCTTTAGATTGAGTATATTAGCATATTTCAAGATTCATTCTCTTTACTATCCTAGTGTCGGAACGTGACACTCCGATCCATATACTATCCTGGTGTCGAAACGTGACACTCCGATCCATATACTATCCTGGTGTTGGAACGTGACACTCTGATCCATATACTATCCTGGTGTCGGAATGTGACACTCTGATCCATATACTATCCTGGTGTCGGAACGTGACACTCCAATCCATATACTATCCTGGTGTCGGAACGTGACACCCGATCCTCTAATCTCATTATCTTAGTTCATCAAGCCTTCTTTTATACCAAGGCATCATTATTAACAAAGTAAATTTAAGATTCAAGATTCATAGCCTCATCTTCTCAATCCATTACAATTACATAATCATATCATGCAAGCACACAATTAAGCATATAGAAGACTTTACAATACTACCCAACACATATCATTCACTATTAAGAGTTTACTATAAGATAGTATAAACCATAACCTACCTCCACCGATGAATTGTGATCAAGCAATCTACTTTCCCAAAGCTGCATTCTTCTTCGTTTTCTCTCTCTCTTGATCGTTCGTTTCTCCCTCTCTTTGTTCTTTCTATTTTTCTTATTCAAACCCTCTTTCTTTTACCCTAATTAGCATATAATTAAGTATAAAGATGGTAAAAGTAACCCACTATTTATTTCAAGGTTGTCCCCTTTAGCCCCCAAGTAATTGAATTATTAACATTAACCCACTAACTTTATAATTATAAGCATGAATAGTCCAAAACGCCCCTTAAAACATTTAACAGAAATCCGACCCAGTCAGGGTTACGCAACCTATGACGGCCCGTCGTGCCTACGACGGTCCGTCCTGCTGCTTCCGTCACAAAGTTCAGAGACTCAATTCATTAAAGAGTCTGTGACGGCCCGTCATGTCTACGACGGTCCGTCCTGCCATTTCGTCGCGAAGTTCAGAGAGTTGATCTCAGTACCCAAATTTCAAAATTCTAAGTGTTTTGGAACGAGACCCCCTCGACGGTCCGTCGTGCCCATGATGGTATCCGTCGACTCAGACAGTTGTTTATTAGAAATACTCTACTGCTCAAAACGACTGACAGGTCGTTACAGAGTCATTGATTGAACGTCTCCAATTGATAGCTAGACCATTGTTGATGAGGACAAAGTTGCCTATTACACTTTGGGGGCATGTTATTTTGCATGCAGCGGCACTTATGCGTATCAGGCCAACCAACTATCATGACACTCCCCATTGCAATTGATTTTTGGTCAGAAGCCAAACATTTTCTATCTTAGAATTCTTGGTTGTGCAGTATATGTTCCAATTTCCCTGTCACAACGCACAAAGATGGATACCTAAAGAAGGTTGGGGATATTGTTGGGTATGAGTCTCGTTCTATTATAAAAGATTTTGGAACTTAGAACTGGAGATTCATATGCGCAAGGTTTGCTGATTTTCATTTTGATAAATCAGTATACCCAACATTAGGGGGAGAACAAAAGAAGTTGGAAAATGAGATAGATTTGAATTTATTTTCGCCGTCTCATTTAGACCCCCAAACAAATTAGTGTGAGCAAAAAATAAAAGATAATTTATTGGAAATCAACTGTCGGATGCATTTATTAACCTTTCACGTATTACTAAATCATATATCCCGCCTTCTAATGTTCAAGTTTGAGTTGATGTCCCTATAAGAAAAAATTTTAAGGCAAAAGAGTTTGAACAACGCCTAAAGTGTGGTACACGAGTTGGTTCCAAGAATAAAAAGCCTCAAAAAAATAAAAAGAATAAATGATCAAGATGATTATAATATGGAGACTATTGATTATGAAGCTCACTACTAAAGAGGTCTATGAACATGAAAACAATGATAATGACGAAATATCAATAAATTATGTCTAAACGAGAAAAAGGTCAAATCGAAATAATATTGTGGTGGATAATTTTTTTTATAATGTTATAGTTGAAATAATGCAACAAAATGAGGATTCAGAATCAAGATTTGTCAATAAATGTAGATAGAGAAATAATTGATCAAAATGGAAAGAAGTAATTCAAATAGAATTTGCTTCACTTGAAAAATGTGAAGTTTTTGGACCAATAGTCCGAACACCTGAAGGGGTCAAACCAGTTGGGTACAAATGGATTTTTGTGTGAAAACACAAAGAAAATGGTAAAGCTGAACAATATAAAGCACGACTTGTAGCACAAGAAAATTCGCAAAGGCCTGACATTGATTACGAGGAGATGTATTCTCTTGTGGTACATGCAATTGCCTTTAGGTATCTGATAACTATGACAGTTCATGTAAAACTTGAAATGCATCTAATGGACGTTGTCACAAACTATTTATATGGCTGGCTAGAACACAATTTTCTTATAAAAAATTCTGAAGCACTCAATGTGCCTGAAACATATAAAAATTGAAAGAAAAATTGTTAAATAAGGCTTTAGAAATCCTTATATGGATTCAAACAATCGTCTTAATGAATACTTGCTAATAAAAGGGTATAAAATGATCCTAATTGTCCTTGTACTTTTATACGAAGTTCAAAAACTTAATTTGTAATAATATCTTCTAATGTTTATGACTTGAACATCATTGAAACTCCTGAAGATCTTTCAAAAGTTGTTGAGTGTTTGAAGAAATAATTTAAAATGAAAGGTCTTTGTAAGACACGATGTTGTCTGGGTATTCAGATTGAACATTTGACAAATGGAATATTTATTCATCAATCAACATATACTGAAAAGATTTTGAAGCTATTTTACATGGATAAATTACACCCATTAAGTACCAGATGGTTGTGAGATCTCTTAATATAAATGAAGATTCATTCCAACCTCAAGAAAAGGATGAAGAACTTCTTGGTGATAAAATACCATATCTTAGTTCTATTGAGACACTAATGTACCTTTTCAGTAAAACCCCACCAGATATTTGCTTTGTAGTAAGTTTATTGGTGAGATTCAGCTCATATCCATGTCATATTATATGTCACATTATTACATTACACTTGCATTAAGAAATGATGTACTTTTATTGTTCTATCCTTATTTTATGTTGACAAGATTAATTAACTATTCTATCAAGTGTATTATACACAAAATATGAAAATTTATGTATAAATTTTATAATATTACAAGTATTGTGATCCAACTATTTATAAAAAAGAATTACATATAAATAGTGGAACTGAGGGAGTATATATTCCATGATTTTCCACTTTGAGGAGGTAGTAGATCATAATATCATTACTAAGAAACAAAATTTTCTTCTCCCATTCTTGCGTTTTCGTTCATCTTTAAATAAATCTTTGTTAGTTTATGGCTCCTAGTTTTATATAAGAAGAGCTTGTTGAATCCTGAGAGATAGACTCCACCAGGTTGAAATATCATCAAGGATAGTGTCTTTTGACATGCCTCAAGCTATGATAATTTCCTAGAAGAGTTTGTGATGAAGTACAAGCTTTAGTAAATTTCTTTCAAATTTTTGTGATGAATGCATTTTTCGTAAGGTTTCCAACAAAATTCACTCTATTCCTTTTCATCACCAACACAATTATGATGAATAATACTAATGTCAATGTCAAAACTATTGGAATTAATGCATTCACACCTTGATATTTTAGTCTTTTAATATTTTCTCTAATAATTTTCAAAAAGTCTTTTAGAAGTTTATATAATACATGTATCTAATAAAATTTGATATTAATACATGTATCTAATAAATTGTGATATATTTATCTAGTTATTTATGCAAGACTTTAAATTTTATATTTTGTTAGTGTAAATAGAGATGTAATAGATGATTCTAATCATCTCAAATTATTTTAAATAACCTATATAAAACTTAAGCATTCTCTTAAAAAAAGAATTACTCTCCTTCTATATTTCCTAAAAAACAGTTGTAGGAATTTCCATATATCAATGCACTCTGAATCTCTTTAATTTTTTTCTTGTCTTCAATAAATACATATGTATAGCTCCGTGGTGCATATAAATACAGCTCTCTCCCATTTTTTTCTCACATTCTAATTATTCTATTTTGACCAAGTCTTCTTTTTCATTTTAAACAAAAATCCATTTTTTTCTCACATTCTAATTATTCTATTTTGACCAAGTCTTCTTTTTCATTTTAAAAAAAAAATCCATAATACGCTGAAAGAATTATCATCACAAGGTAGACAATTTGAGACTGCTACATGAGAGGCTAGTGATTGTGTTGCTGTGACATATTTTCAGTACTAGTTACACAACATCAAATGCAAATAAAGGTGTATAGAAGAAACTAAACATAATAATTAATGTCAGTAATTGTGAGGTTGAAGGCTAATAAGGAAGTCCTTCAAGAGGGGTAGGCATTGGATCATATGTCATTTTCTCATTGGAAATAAGTAATGGAGAAAAGACATACAGACACCATCAAAGTTGTTCCGTATTTGCATAAAGACACCTTAACTTTTAAAGTGTCCTATTACCCCACAGAACTATTTAATTTCTTTGTAAATGGACCATTTTGACTCATTTCGTAGTGTGAGTTGTTACCACGCACTTGAGGCGCGTCATCCATTATTTTTACTGCCATGGACCAGTTTAAAGGTGCTATGTGTCATTATTATTCTTTATTATTAATTATTTTATCAATTTTTGTCATCTTCCCCAAATTTAAACCCAAAATAATTATTGTTAGCCCTAATTTTTCAATTTCATAGTTTTTTCCATAGAAAAATCAATGTTGATACTCTTTGTTTGACCACTTCATCATCTTCTCTAAGAAAATAAGACACCACTATTGGCGAGAAACTTCTGGATCAATGAAGAATGTGATTTTCTTGTTCAATAAATTCAAAGTAAACACTTCCAAGCTATGGAAGCTCTTGTCTGCCACAAGTTGGTCAATGGAACATGATGAACAAGAAAATGGTTAATGGAGGAACTGTTGTCAATTGAATATGCATTAACTTTTCTTGCAATGTGCAAGAAAGTGTTATCCATGGGTTTTGTTTTAAGTTAGCATATGAGTTATTTAGGTCTGAGTTTTGCTACCAAAAGGGTTGCAACTAATAGCAATCCTACATTCAAAATTTTGTTGTCACCTAACTCCATAGCTGAATAAAAAAAATCCGAATGAAGAAAAATTAATGAAAATTTCTTGAAGGTGCAAGCAAAATAGAGAAGAAAAGAAATGGAGAAGATGAATTCTCTTTAAAGAATAGGGTCGGGTCAGGTCAGGTTGAACAGGGATTTGAGCAACACGCGCCACTACATAGACGAGAAAATGGGTCAAAATGACCCATTTACAAAGAAATTAATTAGTTCTGTGGGGTAATAGGACACTTTAAAAGTTAAGGTGTCTTTATGCAAATACGGAACAACTTTGATGGTGTCTGTATGTCTTTTCTCTAAGTAATTTCCAATTAAATTTCCTGATTAAGATGTGCAGAAAGATGAGAATCTCCAGTCGAGCAAACTCTTTTCCTACACACATTCGTGGTCCTCCCCCAAATGGAATATACGTATATGGTGCAGGTCCAACTCCTTCAAATCTTGATGGTTCTAAGCTTGTTGCGTTGGGGAAAATCTCTGGATCCAAACTTGTTAAACCAGTATTCCAGTAAAACTGTTCCAACATAAATAAATCAGTTTTAACTTCTATGCATAAGAAACTATTTGTATAAGATTAACCCAATTCAGTTTCATGTAAATCACATGATAAAAATAGTAATCTACTTATTTCAATTTCACTGTCCTACGATTGTTTCAGAAATAATATTGCTTTCATTTTCGGATAATTCTTTAATTTCAACTTTCAACATAGCATATTTATGACTACAAGATGAAAGAATATTTTCATAAATTTAATATATTTTAAATTTTATATCACAAGATTTAAAATTTCTTTTTCACTTTTGGAAATTGTATCAAGCCAAATAAGCAAACAAATTAAAACCCAAGAAATATTCCCTTTCTCTCATTTTTATATGACATTGTTTTTCTTTTTATAGTTCGTCCCAAAGAAAATGACACATCATTATAATTTGAAACAATTTAGCTTTATTTTTTATTTTATACTTTTAATGAAATAATTTTCAACCACACAAATACCTAAAGATTAATTGAAACCACATATTTGAAAAATCTTTCTTCTCCTTAAAACACAATATCAAGTCAAAATGTATCCACTAAGGAAATATAGTTTTACCTTTCAGCCCTTAGGGATATGATAACCTCCATAATTTATATCCACAATTGCTTCTCGATAAGCCCCCATTATAGGAGGTGTTAGTCTCATAACTTCAGATACTACATTACAAGAATACTTCATCTTTTGTATATCATCCCAATTCAAAAACTCTCCTTCTTTCTTTGATGATGCTATCTCAATATGCTCTGCTTTTCACCAATTAATATTATATATAAAATATGCTCTGCTTTATTGTGTCTTATATATATATATATATATATATATATAAAAGATACAATAATTTAACGTGATTCAATCAATGAACTAACTTTGGAGAATGTTCTGATAAATTTGAGGGTGCTCTGCAAGTCTCTTAATGAGTAAAGTAAGTGTGACAGATGAAGTGTCATGACCAGCAAAGAGAAACAACAATATGTTATTAACAATAAGTAGTTCAGACATGTACTTTCCATTTTCATCAGGGCAGGACAACAAATGAGACAAAATGTCTTGTGAAGGTGATGCTATTTTCTGTTCCAAAGCTTCTCTTCTTTTTTTTACAACTTGTAATAATCTTTTTTTTACAACTTGTAATAATTCTTTCCTAATAGCAGTTGTACCTTTCATTGCTTTGTAAAATGATGTACCAGGTAAATTTATAGGGAGGGAAATTAGTCCTTTCAATAAAAGGTTGAACTCCCTAGAAAGCCTTTCAATTTCATTTTTGTCTTCAATGCTCATGAATAGTTGACATGCCACTTTGAAAGTATATAATTTTACCAGAGGAAACACCTTCACCTTCTCTTTACCTTCATAAATAAAGAAAAATTGTTAAATATGTATGGAAGAACGATAAATATACTCTTAAATTATCGTAAATGGCAAGTGTATACCCTCCATTATATTTTCCCTACATCAATGACCTTACCATCCAAATTTTAGAGTGTATCTTTATACTAACAGTAACACACTTGTCCTAATCCTATCTACCAACACAAAATTTATTAGATTTTCTACCAAAAATCAAATTTTATGCACTAAACATATGTACGTAATATCTAATAAGAGGAGAATACTGCAAGTGTTACCTTGCCAGTAATTCATAAATATAGACCAAGAACAGAAAAATGTTAAATGTTACTCCCATCTATTTTAAAAATAATAACCTAGTCTAATTTGATACGAAAATTAAGACAATAAAAAAAGATATTTCTATTTTATGGTCCTAAGTTAAAGTTATATCAAATGTACTAATAAATGTCTTTTAAGTTTATGGTTTAAACCCGTCATATAAAAAATTAAAATTAAAGTATTACAAAAAAAAAAGTAAAAAAACCAATTTTTTATATATATAAAACAGACTAAAAATGAAAATAGTTCATTCAGTTTGAAACAAAACAAATTTATTTTTCATCAAATATATTAAGTAAATCTCTTATAAGAGGAGAATAGTTGAAATGCTACGTACCTTGCCAATAATTCATAAAATGGTGGTGTGCAACAAGTTCCATGGTTTTGATGTAGAGTCTAGAAAAAGCATCAGGACTAACAAAAGTAGAAAGCATCTTCCTCATGATTTTGGCTTCTTTTCCAACAGTAGTAATCAAACAAGATCCTATAAGTTTTCTTACTGATGCAGGCCACCAAATAACCACTTGTTTGTTTTCATTGCTAAACAAGAACTTATTTCCACTTGCACCACCTAATACCACCACAGTCTCTCCCATTAAGGATGTTTTAAAGATTTTAGACTTGTATTTCTCTATTCTCTCTTTAACGAATTTCTCTGGTTTTCCTTCCTTGTTTGCGTTGAGGAAGTCTAGTGTTTCGCCAAGATATGGCCATCCACAACTTCCAGGAGGATAATTCAATCTCTTTCTTCTCATCACTATGACAATTATGATGAATAAAGCTAATGGCAATAGCAAAACATATGCAGGAATTTCCATATCAATGCACTCTGATTTTCTTTTTTCTATAATTGATGTAAACAACTAGCTGTTACGTACAATATATAGTTTCTCTAGACCTAATTCCGTGGAGTATATAAAGACACCTCTTACCTATTTTGTTTTTATCAAAATACTTTATCTTATTTAAAAAGAGGTTTGGTTTGACTTAAAACAAAATTTAAGAAAATGTTGAAAGTATAATTAAATATTGAAAATATTTTCTCTTTAATAGTTTCCATAAATTACGTTTACAGGTTTCTTCTTATTGTCAATTGGTCATACACAAATCTTAACAGAACCATGAATTCGAAGAAAAAAAATCATTTCTTCTTCCAATTCATCTTTCTCCATGTTCATCAACGAACCATTCAATAGATTCAAAATTGCAAAAAATTTGATAAGATACATAATGAATAGTTATTGGACAAACAATTTCTTTTGTGAGTCACAAATCTAGAATTGCATGAGATCGTGAGATGAGAAAAGCTTGAAAATTCAATATATAGTAGAAGAAAATCACGAGGAAGTGTTACTGAAAATGGGATTCAACCCCTAGAAAATTGGAACTAGATAGCACAATTCAACAAAACTTTTCTTCCCAATCTTTCATAAACTCTCAATTTTTGAATCAAAATTGTTGATAAAATTCGATATACATTACAATTAATACAACATTCTTCTTTCTATTTTTCCAAAAAAAACTCTTAATTATCGATAACATTCTTCTTCCTCTTATTCCAAAAAAAAAAAATTAATCATCGACACATCCTTCTTCCTATTATTCCAAAAAAATTCAATTTTTGAATCAAAATTATCGATAAAGTATCGAGATACATTGGAGATTTTATACATCATTGAGCTGAAGAAACAAGAGCTTGCATTTTCAATGTATCTGCTATGTATTATTAATACAACAAACAGAAAGACTGAAGAAGGCTAAAGAGATACATAGCTTTGGTGGATCAACTATTCCTTTCTATAATGTGGTGTGATTGTTTATTGAATTGTGTTTTCGAGATGGATAGATTTATCAATACATTATTGTTATGTATCTTGTTTAAATTGATACGTATTGTATTTCTACTAGATACATCAAATAAGTAATTGTTGGCTATAAAATATTACATTTGAGATTGATACATCACAGTTTGATAATTTGTATGTATCAAATACATTTAGTATAAATTCAACTTTATGTATCATACCTAAAAAATTAGCGCATGATACATTATTATCTATGTATCTTATTTTGAGAAATACTATATTTTAAAATTAAAAAAAAACATTATACATGTAATTTTTCTAAATTAAAATTATAGCTTTCCTTTTTAGGGTGTGATACATACCACAAAGTTTATGTATCAAGTACATTTGTATTGAACATGAGAAATACTAATAGAAGACTCAACAACATTAGACTTATGTATCAACGTTAAATATGAACATGCACATTGCATAAAACAAAGGCTATTGAAGTATTGATGCATCAGATCAATGATAACTCTAACAAAGACGAATTTAAGAATCAAAATAAACGAGATACATTAAAAAATTATATCTTTGATAGCGATGACCATGCAATGGCACATCCAACTTTTTCTTCTTTTCTTTGACGTTTTCAACAGTAGATACCTTAAAAGTAAACATAAAAAAGTTAAAAAAAATCAACGATGATATTATTAACTAATATTACCAAGGTTCAATAAGATTTCAATTGAGGCATGGGGCGGAAGTAATTTTCTTTTAAGATGAAAAATTAAAAGTTAATAATAAAAAGAATTTGAAATTGATGTGGTGGAAAGAAATATACCTCTTGAATAATTTGAAATCATTAATTAGAAATAGAAAAGATTTGAAATTCAAAAATAGATTAATTTATGTAATTATGAAGAGATTTGTGGCGTGGAGTAAGGAAGGAAAATCATGGGTATGAACTTTCAAATTAATGTATCCAGAAAAGGGGAGGGTCGAACAAAAAGAAGGAATTTTAGATGCTTTTTAAAATGATAGAAAAAAAAAGAAGTATAATAATAAATGGTGTCTAATTAAATAATTTATCTTAAAAGCTAATCATAAGTGAGCGAGTATCAAAGATAATTAATGTATCGCTAATACTTCATAATTCTTCTTCATCACCCTCACCCCGAGGACCTCTCCTCTCTTAAATCTTTATCACTCCCACTATGCTAAAATTGATGTGATAAAAAACAAAATCAATTTGGTTCAGAATTATTTTGTAATTAAAAAACAAAATAGGAGAGAAGTGTTGGGATATGAAGGATTAATATGGCGTCATGCGGAAGATTATAATCTGCAAATCACAATGTTGATAAATTAGGCGATAAAAACTAATACTAAAAATCAAAATACTATTATATCAAAACTGATATAAAGAAAAAACATTAAAATTGTGAAAAAAATAAATAAATCACCCATAAATAAAAGTCTTCAAACGAGTACATTGTGGAGTCTATTATTGTTGTTGTGTTAAATGGAACAAGTCTATATTTATAGAGTACTAAAACCTTTCCTACTAGAAAAGAACTAACTGCTTCAAAACATTTTCATAAAAGAAATAAATAAACCAAATATGAAAGAATATTATATTTTCCTTACTAAAAGAAATAAATAAACCAAATATGAAAGAATATTATATTTTCCTTACTAAAAGAAATAAATAAACCAAATATGAAAGAATATTATATTTTCCTTTCAAGAAAAAAAATATTTATGAAAATGTTTTGTCTTTTCTTTAAGGAAAAATAAATCTTAAAATAGGTAAGAAAATTAGGGGAAAATCCTAACAAGATGTGTATTTTTATAATTTAAGACGACAAAAAAATAAGGAGAAATCAGCATTGATTTGGACATTTCTACATATGCTTTGAATGTGGCAATATTGTTGGTGAATGAGAAGGAATAAGAAAAAGATATTGAAATTCTGAGAGAAACATTAGACTTTCTCATTGCGAACAAAGAAGAAAAGTTAGACAAATACAAGTTCAAAATGTTCAACACTTCCTTAATGGGGGAGACTATAATGCAAGTGTGATCGGTGTAATATTAAATTACAATATTAAATAAGAGTAATGCAAAGTATTACAATATTACAGTACTGAAAGACGTGACTTCAGGAGTGGATTTCGGAAGGAAAGACTTCGTTTACTTCCTGCAAATTGCTTATGTAAGAACTAGTAGAAAGAAAGGGGCGTTCCGCCACTTGACTGTAAGGAAAGGAATTTGGAAAAAAAAAAGTTGTTTCAAATTACATTTTGTTAAGTGTGATGTTGACTTAAATTTCATTAACATTTCATATAAATTACTTCTTTCTCTTTGAAACTCCTATTTTGCAAATCATATAAAAACATGTATCTTGAGTGAGAAAAATACACCACTAACAACACAAACAAAAAGAAAGAGAAAAACATTTCCCTCTTTTCTTCTTATCTTATTCTTAGAATATTTTCTTGGACAATTGGTTTTAGGCAACCTCCGAACTTTCAGCCACGAGTGCACGTGTTTGAGGGTAACTGTTCAACCTTGGGAGCAACCGGCTACAACGATTTGCACCGGAGTCGAGCCAAAATTGCTTTCAAGGCAGAGATATGCCACGACCTAGTATTTGTGATAAGTTAAATATACTTCATAGTTCCAATCTAGTATCAATATTGTAGTATTTTTCCCAATAATTTGAAAGTAATTTTCCTAACATACAATATGATGAATGACTATTTCTTTGAACAAAACTTTTAATGATTTGTCAAAACTTGAGCCTTTGGATGGAAATAATCTTAAACGATGGTTACAAAAACTTTTGATTTTCATTGAACAATTAGAAGTTGATTATGTTTTATTTAAAAAACCTTCTATGAATGGTTTTAACACCACTACTGATTCTAGCAATGTTATGGTTGTTGATGATGTTGTTAAAAAGAAGTTTGAAAAGCATAACAAACTTGTGAGAGGACATTTGCTAAATTATATGATTAATCATTTATTTGATTTATTTTTAAACTATAAATTTGCCAAAGAAATGTGGAATACTTTGGAAAAGAACTGTGGTGTTGATGATGCAGGAAAGAAAAAACATGTTGTCGGTCAGTGGATTAAATTCCAAATGGTTGATAATATGTGATATATCTCAGGCTAATGGTTTGCTTGAAATATTAACACAATCTCGAAGTGATTATAGAACTCAATTAGAACATAAGAAAAAGAATTTAACCCTCCAAGAACTTACTTGTCACGTGAGGACTCAAGAGGCGAACCGTCTCAAAGATAAGTTGAAAGAACTTTTTCTTAATTTTTCTAAAACTAATCTTGTTGAATCTTCTGGTAATGTTGTGAAAGACAAGTTCAAAGGCAAAAAGAAGAAAGTCTCCAAAAAGGAACATATGAAGAACAAAAATCAATTTAACAAGACATAGAGTCAAATTCAAAAATTTAAGGTTCATTGTTTTGTTTGTGGAATAATTGGTCACAGGGATTCCAGGTGCTATCAAAGAGGTATTGTCTAACAAAGTAATGTCCAAACTAATCTTGCTGAGGGTAATCAAGTGATTGTTGCTTTAGTCGTTGAGGCAAATCAAGTGGCTAACAAAATTTACTGGATTCTAGACACATGCGCCTCAAGACATTTCTGTTCTAATAAAGAGTTATTTCATAACTTTGAGGAGTCTACGATGGAGAATGTATATATATGGGTAACTCCATACTGCTATAGTAATGAGTAAAGGAAATTTTTTTACTTAAATTAAACTTCTGGAAAGACACTATTCTTGAACAATGTTTTGTATGTTCCATTCCTTCGTAGAAACTTAGTTTCTAGAGCACTTCTCAACAAAGTAGGCCTTAAACTTGTTTTGAAACTGATAAAATAATTATTTCTCGCGGAGGATAATTTGTTGTGAAGGAATATCTTAGTGGAGAATTATTTGTACTGAACATTGTTCAAGAGATTGTCAATAATGGAAGTATTTTCAAATTCTGCTTAGATTATTGTGGCTATCAATTTGTGGCATGGTAGACTAGGTCAAGTTAATATTTATTCTATAAAAAGACTTAGGAAATTGAATTATTTCTATGATAAAAACTGATGATT